ATAATTCTTTCTTTTTTTACCTTGTACTGTTTGACTTATTGCAAAACCGAATAAAGACATATTTGCCTTAAAAAAAAAAAAAAAAAAAAAATAGTACCATCATTGTAATCCATCGTCAATCACAGCGTTCAGTGTTGTCATGCCGCCTCCCAAAATAAAAAAAAAAAACACACCCGCCAACCCATCTGCACCCACCGAGCACTTCCTGCAATCTGACATTTGCCAGTCAGATGTAAACAATTGGGCAGAGCTAGCGGGGATGTCACTGCTAGCTCCGCCCAGTTGTGCTGTTATTGGCCTAAGCACTGCACCTGACCTGTGATCAGCTGGTCAGGTGCATTGCTTTGGCAAGTCACAATGCACTGTGAGAAACGAATACCCTAGCTGCTGAATACCCTTACCATTCGTGTGTTCACCGAACAAACAAACGGACAATGTTCGACTCGAACATCAAGCCCATCACCAAGTGCCATGAACACAGAAGGTGGAGGAGATGAACAATGCCATAGTGAAGAAAGCAGGATGTAATGAAATGTGCTATGGAGAGGGGCAGTGGAGGAGAAGTGCTATGGAGAAAGGACTGGCAGATTTGTGGGCTTGCCTAAAAAGTGCATGTACCTGTCTAGAACTTGTACTTGAATTTGGCACATGCTTTACTACTTTTAGAATGCATGCAAACTCTTGCTAGAATTCATAAAGACTGGTGCAGATTTTAGAAAGTGTCTTGTATGCGTTCTACAAGTGGTGCAGCATATGCCAAATTCATGTACTTGTCTTAAAATTGTACTAAATTTGGCACACGCTACGGCACTTTTAGAATACCCATGAGACACTTTTGCAAAATCTGTCTGCACCAGGGTCGCTCTCTGTACGCTAAAAGAGAGTTGGTCTTAACCACTTGCCCTACAGAGGATTTACCCCCCTTCCTGACCAGGCTATATTTTGCGATAAGGCACTGCGTTACTTTAACTGACAAATGTGTGGTCATGCAACGCTGCACCCAAATGAAATTTATATCATTTTTTTCCCACACAAATAGAGCTTTCTTTCAGTGGTATATGATCGTCTGTGCGTTTTTATTTTTTGCGCTATAAACAAAAAAAGACCGACAATTAAAAAAAAAACTATATTCTTGACTTTTTGCTATTAAACATGTCCAGTAAAAAAAATAAAAAAATGTTGTCATTAATTTAGGCCAAAATGTATTCTGCTACATGTCTTTGCCAAAAAAAAAAATCTTAATATGTGTAAATTAATTAGTTTACGTGAAAGTTATAGCGTTTACAAATGGTGGTGTATATACTGGAATTTTTTTAATTTTTTCACTAGTAATGGCGACGATCAGCGACATATAGAGGGACTGCGGCGGGCAATCTGATACTGGATGGAACTGACTTGGTGTGACTGACATCCCCAGTGACATCAATACAGTGATCAGTGCTAATAAAAAGCACTGGCACTGTGCTAATGGCACTGGGCAGGAAGGGGTTAACATGTGGGGTGATCAAAGGGTTAACTGTGTGCTTTACACTGTAAGCACACTGCTTTGTATTGCCTTGTTGGTAGTACTCGGAGATCACTGGGTGCCGGCGGGGAATCACCAGTCAGGGACTTGATGCAGAGGCCGTGATTTTGCGCACCCATGCCACCCTGTAGCAGTATTTCTGCTATAGGGCAGCGCGGAAGCGGTTAATTAGCTCCACTTTTGTAAGATATGAGCTGTCAGTGTATTATTTTGACATTGGCGCATTCATGACACCACAGTATAAAGATAAAGCATTTTAGAACTATCTAAATCTACCTGAATTTGGAGCATGAGTTGCTGTCAAAGCCAAATGTGTTGCAGATGCTTCATGGATTTGGCGCAACACATTAACAAGAAGAATTAACACCAGAAAAGTGGCACACCTGCTTTACTGAATTCCTACCTCTGTCTCTGTATGCCAAAAGAAAGTTAGTCTTAAATAGCTTCACTTTTGTAAGATATGAAGTGTCAGTATTTTATTTTTAATTTGGTGCATTCATGGCATCACTGTGTAAAAATGGAGTATTTTTTAATTACCTGAATTCGGTGTATGAGTTCCTATCAGAACCAAAAGTGTTGCAGATGCTTCTTGATTTTGGGGCAACACATTACCAAGAGAGATTAACATCAGAAAAGTGATGCATCAGCTTTGTTGAATTCCGCCTCCTCTCTGTCTCTCAGAAGAAAGTTGGTCTTAAAGTGTTAAAGTGTTACTAAACCCAGGGCCCTGCATTCACTATATCTGGTCTTCCACAGTACAAACAACATGGAAATGCAATTATTTTAGTAAATATACACTGCTAAATACCTTTTCTCATCAGCAGTCTTGTTACTTCTATCAGTGTTCAGCAGCACTGGTTGCAGCTTGTAGGAGGAGTATTAATTCTCTTATAGCAGGATGCAGGACATCTGACCTCTGTCTGGAGAGTGCTGATTGGCCCTGTGCTGATCACAAGCACTCTCCTAAGAAGAAAAAAACTCTCTAGCAATACACACCAAACTGAGCATGTGCAGCTTGGCCCTAGTCTCTGTTCTATCAGGAGCTATTTGGGACACTGGAAGAAGGGGAGGATCAGAGAAAAGAATATCAAGCATCCTCTTTACACAATGTGGAGGATTAACTCCTGAGGTTCCACAGTGAGTATAACAAGCATGCTTTACTGCTTATAAAGACTGATTTTACTTTTGAAGGTTTAGTAACACTTTAACCACTTGCCCTCCAGAGGATTTACCCCCCTACCTGACCAGGCCATTTTTTGTGATACGGCACTACGTTACTTTAACTGACAATTGTGCGGTCATGGAACACTGCACCCAAATTAAATTTAGGTCCTTTTTTCCCCCCACAAACGGAGCTTTCTTTCAATGGTATTTGATCACTTCTGCAAGAGCAACAATTTTGAGGAAAAAGCAATATTTTTTACTTTTTGCTACTAAACGTCCAGTAAAATTGTTTTTTAAAAATGTAATTTTGTCATAAATTTAGGCCAAAATGTATTCTGCTACATATCTTTACTTAAAAAAAAAATCCAAATACGTGTAAATGAATTGGTTTACGTGAAAGTTATAGCGTCTATAAATGGCAGTATAGATACTGGAATTTTTTTTTTTTTTAAATACTAGTAATGGTGGCGATCAGCAACTTATATTGGGATTGCGGCGGGCTTTCTGACACTGGGGGGGCAACTGACTGTCACTGACATCCCCAGTGACACCAATACAGTGATCAGTGCTAATAAAAAGCACGGACACTGTACGAATGACACTGGGCAGGAAGGGGTTAACATCTGGAGCGATCAAATGGTTAACTGTGTGCTGTGTTTTACAGTGTAAGCACGCTGCTTTGTATTGCAGAGCAATACAAAGCAGTGTGCAGGAGCTGACAGGGGAGAGATCTGTATTGTTTACATTCAGACCTCTCCCCCGTCAGTGATACTCGGCAATCGCCAGGTGCCAGCGGGGAATCTCCGGCTGGGACCCAGTGATTGACAGCTGAAGCAGCCAATTATTGTTATTATACATGATTTATATAGCGCCAACAGTTTGCTCAGTGCTTTACAACATAAAGGGAGACAATGCAGCAACAATACAGCTCAATACAAGAGGGTTAGGAAGGCCCTGCTCCTTGGAGCTTACAATCTAAGAGCCAATGGTAGCACGGGTAGGGAGCGCGTGCGCCCCCTATTAAAAATACAAAATCAAGTATATAAACACGTGATTTTGCGCAGCCCTGTAGCAGTATTTCTAATATAGGGCGGCGGACAAGCGGTTAATTAGCTCTACTTTTGTAAGATACGACCCGCAGGTGTACTTTATTTTCAATTTGGTGTAGGCGTCGCGCTACAATATAGAAGTGGAGCAAATTAGAGCTACCCAAATTTGGTGCACAGGTCACTGTAAGAACCAAAATTGTCACGGATGTGTTTTGAATAAGGTGTATAACGAGAGCAATTAAGGTTAGAGAGGCGGTGATGCAGCTTTATTAAATTTCCCCCTTGTGTACACTATGTAGTCATAAATTCAGGCCCTCAGGCCCGTACAAACACACACAAAGTCCTACATTATATATACATAAACATACACACACAAGAGGACAATGTGCACTATACTCATGAGCATACCTGTAGCCCTGTACTATGCATTCTTATTACGTATCTTTCTAGCAATCATAGAGAAGTTGCGTACTATGTGTTTCACAGACAACCTTCACACGCACAGTTAATCGTACTGAAACAATTATTTTCCCACTTGGGCAGAAAAAGAAATTCTGCTAATGAGATCTGGCTGTTCTCACGTCACTACCAAGCCGACAGGGAAGGACTGAAGGCGTGTGAGTGGGTGGGACAGCATCAGCAGTGAATGACGTCATCCAGCCCCCACACACACACACCAAGGACTGTGGAAAGTGAGGCAGTGCACATGCTCCCCCTTGGAGAGAAGGAATAGAGAAAGTAACTGCTTCACTGCCAGAAGAACACAGCAACTACGACACACTGCAACTATGGCACCTAGCAACAGATTAGAAGGAGAGTTTAGGGAGGAAATACTGTATGTGGGGGAAAGTAAATGTTAAATCCTAGTAAATATACAATTTAAATACAATGAGGGGAATTTACTAAGACTGGAGCAGACAGAAAACAGGAGCAACTGTTCGTGGCAACCAATTAGCTTCTTTCATTTTCAAAGCTGCAGGCTAAATTCACATGTCTGCAAAGGGGTTGCTGTCAGTGAGAAGCACAAGATTCTCACTGGCAGTACTATACATTGCCTGTACATTCTGTGTGTGACCAGCAGCAGCTGTCAGATTTGTACTCTGTACAAATCAATGGCCTGTGCTGCCATTGTTCCCATGTAACATGTAACATCTCATCTGAATGGTTACATGGGAATAGAGCCTCAACAAACCATGTATGCAGCTAGGAGTTATTGCACAGTCACAGCTGATCAACCTGGATATACAGTGCATCCAGAAAGTATTCACAGCGCTTAACTTTTTCCACATTTTGCTATGTTACAGCCTTATTCCAAAATGAAATGTCCTGGAGTGGCCCAGCCAGAGCCCAGACTTGAACCCGATTGACCACCTTTGGAGAGATCTGAAAGTGGCTGTGCACCGATGCTCCCCATCCAACCTGATGGGGCTTGAGAGGTACTACCAGGGGCAGACTGACAACTCATGGGGCCCCCGGGCAATAGGGGATCATGGGGCCCCTGTGTCCTTGCCCAAGCTCAAAAAATCCTATGAAAAAGGTACCAGGGGCATCTCATGGGGCCCCTACTGATCCTGGGCCCTCGGCATTGCCAGAGTTTCCAAATGGTCAGTCCGCCCCTGGGTACTGCAAAGAACAATGGCAGAAATTGCCCAAAAATAGGTGTGCCAAGCTTGTAGCATCATACTCAAAACGACTTGAGGCTGTAATTTGTGCTAAAGGTGCTTCAACAAACGTTTTTTTTTTCGTTTTTTATTTTTAATAAATTGTAAAGATTTCAAAACAAACTTCTTTCACATTGTCATTATGGGGTATTGTTTGTAGAATGTTGAGGGAAAAAAATGAATTTAATCCATTTTGGAATTAGGCTGTAACATGACAAAATGGGGCAAAAATTAAGCGCTGTGAATACTTTCTGCATGCACTGTAGATATACAGCCAGCTAGTATGCAGCCATAGCACAGATTGTTGCTGTTTCTAGAAGTGGCATTTAGCTGCCTCAGAACACAACAAAAACTATCTAAACCTGTCTGCTAGTGTCAATGAAGCTCAAAGCAGAACTAAGCTGATCATTTTAAAGTGGGTGTAAACCTCTAACAAGAAAAATGAACAAAACATGTCCTTGTATAGTGTGTGCTTGTCTCAGTCCAAAGCACCAAGAGTTCTTTCTCTCTGATCTCACTTCCCTATGCATGAGTCTAATATAAACAAAACATATGCTGTGATAATACACTATATAAATGCCCAAAAATAAAACAACAGTGAAATAATAAAGCAGTGGTGAAATATAGGGGTTTATTTACTAAAGCTGGAAAGTGCAAAATCACATTCCCTTCTGCATAGAAACCAATCAGCTTCTAACCTCAGCTTGTTCAATTAAAATTTGGCAATACAACCTGGAAGCTAATTGTTTTCTATGCAGAATGAGCCTGATTTGGCATTCTCCAGCTTTAGCCCTGGTTCACATATATGCGGCCATGCGGGCGCGTTTTGCACAGGCACAAGAGCCCATTCATTTGAATGGACTCCCGTGCCCTGTGACACGCAGAGAAGAACTAATGGCACCTGTCCGTGGGTCTGCATTCCTCTGTGCGGGAGATGCGGCTGCACTGATTTTTGTGTGGATCAGCAGCGGCATCACCCACACAGATGTGAACCTAGTCTTAGTAAATAAACCCCTATACCTACCCCATTGTGGCAGTGTGGAAAACATGCGGATCCACCCACCTGTGTGTAGGTTATAGAACTCTGAATCGGAGGACAATACCTGAATAGTGAATCAGACTACTGGACACCGTGGAGTTTATTTACTAAAGCTGGAGAGTGCAAAGTCAGGCTCACTTCTGCATAGTAACCAATCAGCTTCCAAGGTTCCAAGTGAGGTTCGAAGCTGATTGGTTTCTGTGCAGAATTGAGGGGTCCTCTTAGCTTTGGACTGAAACACGCACCTCTATGTCTTTGCTTCTTTACGAGCACTGTTCCCCTAGAGTTCTCATGACACGGTTTTGCAGTATTGCCAGTGTGACCACACCTGAAACACAGAATCTCTCCCCCCTACTGTGTAGCAAGTGGTTGAGAAAATGAAGATTTGGGTCGGTAAGACCATGGATGTTCTCATTGCGGAAAGTTAGAATTGTGATCCTCATCTGGAACACTTTTATCTTTCTAGGAGTAAACAAACTGAATGTCAGCCTCCTGTTTCTTCTCTAACTTCATTAACTCATGGAGAGAAGGAATTCTGTCAGATAACAGCTGTGTAAGAGGATGATGAGGTAGTAAGCCTCTTACTGACTGACTGGTTCTCATATATTCCACTGCAGCGGGAGGTATAGCAGTGTGATACACTTAACATGACAGGAATAGCTGTAATCAATTAATAAATGTGGAAACATCTCCTTCTTTCTGACGCGACATACGGTAGTCTGCAACCATCTGCTCATGATCATAGTAAGGCTTAAAGTGATCAGGCATTTTATCTTTCTAATGTGCTGCATGTAAACTCTCTGCTAACATTTCGGTCACTTTGGCTAAAGTACCACTTGCACTAGGGTGCTTAGAATCATTAGCCATTCTGTAAGAATAGCTAGATGATATAGGTTCTTTATTTATCATTAACCTGTAGTAAACAACAGTAAGTCTACCAATGCATGAAATGGTCCTCTCCAAACGGGATATTGAATTTTACCTGTAGGTAATTCCCTTCCTGGGAATTGAATTGGTAATCTAAACAAAGTAATTGGGAGCAGAAGAACTACTGCAACCAGCATATAACATGAATCATAAATATAGAGATGCACAACAGTATAGAAATAATGCAAGCTTTATATAAGAAGAGATTAATAACAGTACATACATTCAATGTACAAACAGGTATTATCAACAAAAAGCCCAATAGCAGTCCAGTCCTGGTAGAATTCTGCACATATACCTGGGTAAATATAGTTATCAATAGACATACCTCCAGATTAATCTTGCATCAAAAGTACAGTTGCAGGGGCCCCTGAGAATGATGCAGCATCTGCCTTTATTTGGGAGACCTGAAAACAAGATCTGTGGTCATGGTGAGATCCTCCAACCAGCCTGGAATGGAGCTTCTAACAGCAGGACCTCTGGTGTGACACTGGAACTGTGGTACTAGAACTCTGTCAGCCTATCTACTCTGCACTTTAGTCCCTCCCTAATAGCTTCTAATCTGACATGCAACCAGTCCTCGAAGCCTAAGATCCAGATGTGGCCCCTGCAAGCTTAACCTGCCTCTAGTCCATAATGGGTATGGAGACCTAAGCTAAAACTAGCTATAGAATTGCAGACCAGAAGGGACAGAGGTAGCCAGAATAACAGAAGCTGCATATAAACTATATTGCAATAAACAGGTTCACCTACCAATATACTGGAAGATGACCACTACACATTCAGTAGCACAGATCTAGCTATCTTGCACTGTACATGTGAAATATAAACAAAGCCAGGCTAGAGATGCTCCGTCTGTCACAAGGAATATAGATATACACTCAGCAGCTGCAGATAAACCATTAGATCATAGGAATACTTAATGGTGTATTGCAAATGGCATAATGGTCTCTTCTGGTCCAGGATTTAGCAGCATGGACAGGATATATGGCTGAAACTCTCTTTTTCTCTCCACTTCCGTCTTCTGGGGTCTTAAGCCAACAACCCAGGGACAGGAAGTGCATACATAATTTATTTACAAATTCAGACAGTAGAGGGCAGCAGATCCCTACACAAGCAGGCTAGCCTAAGGAAAAGCTAGAAGCTGGAGGCACTGTTTATGCCGATTGCATGACATTCTCATGTGATAGAATCATGTACAGTACTTTACATAGATATTTATCATACATACATATAATGTATAGTATGTTACACAATGTAGTAAAAACTTAAAATACAAAATCTTTTATTGTGACAAAAAATTAATAAAACAAAAAGTAAGCATATCTAGCTAATATTTGGTAGAACCACTTTTCTTGCAATTTTAACCTCTATAGCTCTACCAGTTTTATAGCACTGGCTTTGAATTTTAGCCCATTCTTCTTAGCAAACTTGCTCTACCACTGTCAAGTTGGATGAGTGATCATTGATGGATAACAAATTTCAGGTCTTACTACAGGCTCAACTGAACTGAGATCTGGGTTTTAACTGGGACATTCCAAGACCTTCAGGTTTTTGGTTTTAAAAGACTATGGTGTACCTTTAGCTGTGTATTTAGGGTCATAGTCCTATGAGAAGGGAAACCTCTGCCCAAAGTTCAGGTCTATTGCAGACCAAAACAGGTTTTCATCAAGAGCTGTCCTGTATTTGGCTCCATATTTGGCCCTCAGTCCTGGTCAGTTTCTCAATCTCTGCTGGTGAAAATGCATCTGTATAATATGATGCTTCCACCACAATTTTTCACTGTGGATGATTCTTAGTGTTGGCTTTCAGCCACACAAAGAATTCTATGCTAAAATGAAAATGTTCTTGTCTTGAATAATCAACCCCTTTCCACATGTTTGCAATGTCCCCACATGACTTTTATCAGATTTCAAATGGGATTTGATATGTTTTTTTTTCCCTTAGAAATTACTTTTTCACACTTGTATTGTTGCTGTATTGTCTCCCTTTATATTGTAAAGCACTGAGCAAACTATTGGCGCTATATAAATCCTGTATAATAATAATAATTTGTACACACAAAAAAAGGATTTTTCTAAGAAATTCATTCAAGACCATGTTGCAAAAATGAATACACCCCAATGAAAATCTTGGGAACAAAGCTAAATTTTAGACACCAAAATCCTAATTAACAAGAATTCAACTACAGTTGAGTCTAATTATTCATTAAACAGGTGTTCAGCAGACAGTTGATTATAAAAGGGCGTTACTTAACAAAGAAAACCCCTTCCCATGTCATGCTGTCAGCAATGACACCACATGCAAGAGAAATGTCACAAGGCCTGAGAAAGAAAATTAATCTTTACACAAGAAAGATGAAGGCTACAAGAAGATCAGCAAAGCTTTACTTATCAGTCAGAATACTGTAGCAAAAGTGATACAAAAAGTTAAAGATGGAATTGCAGCAATCCCACAGAGATGTCCAGGAAGTTAACACCTCGACAGGAGCATCTTGTGATGAGAAGGGTTGAAGAAAATCACCATGCAAGTTCACTGCAGTTAGCTAAAGAAGTAGAAAGCCAAACTGGGGTGATTGTTTCCCGTGACACAATACGGTGTACACTGCAGAAGAATGGCATGCATGGGTGTCATCCACGAAGAAAGCCTCTCCTAAAGCCCATGCCTAGAATCTGCCAGGGCCCATGCAGAAAAAAGAAGAGACTACTGGAACTCTGCACACTGGAGTGATGAGAGCAAGATAAAAGTTTTTGGAACTGATGTCTTTAAAACTATATGGCATTGCAAAGGTGAAGAGTACAATGAAAAATGCATGGTGTCTACAGTGAAACATGGTGGTGGCTGTGTCCTTCTGTGGGGCTGCATAAGTGCTGCTGGTGTCGGGGAGCTGCATTTCATTGATGGTATCATGACTTCACAGATGTACTGCTCTGTATTGAAAGAGAACATGCTACCATCACTTCATGCCCTTGGTCGTCGTGCACTTTTCCAACATGACAATGATCCAAAACACATATCTAAGGCCACTGTTGCATTTCTGAAGAAGAACAGGATGAAAGTGATTTAGTGGCCAAGTATGATCTGAACCCAGTTGAATACCTATGGGGAATTTTAAAGAGACAAGTTGAG